CTTATAAGCCATATAATCCAAATTGAAATAATTACCATCATTAATCAACCACGATTGAAATTGTTCATAGGCTGTGACCGGTCGTTTTATTGAATTATGAGCATTTGTGGATCTATTCTGATCAGGTTGTTGCAATTCTTTGAAAGAATCACTTGCGAGTTTTCTTTGATAATTTGCTGTCCCAAGTTTCCTTAGAGAGGTATTCCTATTAAATGCAATTTCTTCAGAATTAAATGTATCATATGGATAGTTTGTAACTAGTTGTCCTCCAGTTACACTTGAATCATAATCGTTTTCAGGGCCGAAACTGTCAAGCTGTTTCAATTTTCTAGTAGAATAACCTCTTTCGAGTTTTCTTTGAGAATTTACACGTGTGACTGCCTCAAGTTTCCTTAAAGATGCATTCCTATGAAGCGTAATTTCTTCGGATGCTTCAGAATTTGATACAGAATAGATTGTAGTTGGCCTTCTTTCAACTATACTTGAATCATAATCGTTCTCGGAACTGATCTTATCAAGCTGTCGTAATTTTCTAGCAGAATCACCTCTTGCAAGCTTTCTTTGAGAATTCATTCGTGTAAGTGCTTCATGCTTCCTTTCAGATACAGTTTCTTCACAATATAATGATAATACATCGTCATTAGAGGCACTAGGTTTTCTTGAATTATAAATGTTGGCATATTCAAGCTTATCAAGCTGTTGCGGTTTTTTGACAGAATTACCTCTTACGAGTTGCTTTTGGGAATTTACGTGCGTGACTTGCTCAAAGTTCTTCGTAGACTTGTGAACAGTAATTTCTTCAGAATATATAAAGTCGTCAAGACTGCTATGGATTCTTGCAGAATACTCAGAATCTTCGGAAGTTGTTAGTATGCGATCGTCATTATTTGAATTTGGATTATATGGCTTATAAGCAAGAGGCGGGAAGTCTGGAACTCTAAAGGTACTCATTTAGGGTTTATATTTATTCCTCTCAGAGTTTAAGGTATGTATTTATCGGGATAAATGAAAAAAACTACCTAAGTTCAACTTCAAAGTGTAATAGCTGAGAATAATTCGATCAGCCAGAGATTTTATTAAAGGAAGGAAGTTTTACCTTTGAATGACTTAAGGTATATAATTACAATTAAGTAATATTATAGTTTGTTCGAAAAGAACGACAAAATAATACTGAATCTGGTAATTGACAGGAATTAATATATTTATGCCAAGAATCATGTATTCATATTCGAATAAATTAAAATTTTAAACAACGGGTAGGACCCTAGATCAACATGCATCTGTACATTATTTGTAATACTTTTTTTAAGGAAACTTTGTGAAAAAGCAATAAACAATTATACAACTTTGGAACTACAGGCATGAACCAAAAAATCGTTATTTGATCACATGTCATTATGTGCCATTGTCGGTAACTTTTTCGTAATGTTCAGGATTATATATGCATGCGACGAATTGTAAATTATGCAATTCTATCGTTATAGTTATCGATATGCAATTTTTAAATTTAAAATATGCCCATCGATTAGTATTCCGTACGGACTGGATCGGACAGATATATTTCTTTAATTCTAAACAAACATTTTTATTTAAAAAAAAAAATTAACACAGGTTATTTTAATACAATTGAGTACTTTTTGTTAGAATGTTCAAAAATATCAAAATCCGTATCCAAAGCTCTCTGTATCAACATTGCTAAAAATATATAAATTAATTTTCTCAAATACGCGCTTCTTGGCAAGTTAATGTATTTTATCGGATCAAATGTTTCTTAATGTATTTTATCGGATCAAATGTCTCTTAATGTATTTTATCGGATCAAATGTTTCGCTAAACTAATTCTATCAAATTTATGCTTCTCATTGTTAGCATTTGTAGTTATGTATGTCACAATATTACATAAATGTAACTTAAAGCTCAGAATTAACATCTCCGATGCTTTTACTAGCTATATAGTATCTTTGTATAATAAATAGCGTGATACATATTGATAATCCAAGTTTATTCTTGCACCATTTAATGAAATATTATGAGCGACACAGACTGGAATAAATTCAAAGTACCAGAACTAAAAGCAAAATGTAAAGAACTTGGATTACACGTTAGCGGTACAAAAAAAACGCTGATAGAACGAATTTTATCTTACTACCATGTCGATCCAAATCAAACGAAAAATGTTGAGAAAGTTTTACAGAAGCCTGATAAGCGTGAAGTTAGTGATAATATTGAGGCATCTCAAAGGAAAAGTAAAAGGATCGATGATGATTCAAGAAGCGAAATAACCTTTAGTGATGGGTTGACTTGCTTAAGTGAATTTCCTGTAATACGAAATATTGAATCCCCTGTTTCCTCAACGGAAGAGACGCAGGACAACTTAACCGCAATACCAGTCACGGTTGAAACATCTCCAACACAAGATGATGCATCCGAATTTTCAAAATCATATTCCAAGAAGACACTTTTTGTCAATACAAAAATTAATACAAAGATACCATCACAAAATGCATTCAATACAGACCCAAATCTGAATCAGCTAGCTTTATCAAATGTTATATCAAAAGTTTCGAGACCACATTCAATCAACACCAATACAAATAAGAATACACCGCTTAACCTTTCACATCGGTCATCAGCCTTTAGAGAAACAGGAAAACCGAAAAGACAAAAAATTCATCACGTAATTCACAAACAAAACAATATAAAAAACTACATTACCAAACCAAATAATATGGATTTAGCATCAAACCAGACACAACCCATACTATTTCCATTGATTCAAATTCCTCAAGACGTTTCACATCATGAAATACGCAGAATTGAGATGTTAACAAGTTGCCTTGAACGAACCGATTTTCAAACTGTTCTGGCTGCAGAACATGTTTGCCGTTTGTGGAAATGTGCAGGTAAGATAATGAACTTTATAAATATAATTCATAAATTATTTTTAAATTTATATGAAGTTTCCTTTTATAAAAAAGCATTGTTAGCATGGAGGGGACTTTGCAAACGAAGTTTTAACGGTATGCTGCTAAATAACGCATTGCGTCAATATCCTAATCCATATAATTCATTCAAAAATTACTATAAACGACGATGGAAAATCCGTCGTTACAATATCACTTTAATATCGCGTAGTTGGATTGGCCAACTTTATGGAAATCTTGGGCACTCACCTACAGTTACCATTAACAATAATGTATTCATGTATGGAATTCATCAAAAACTATATTCTAGCAATGACCACCCATATCAATTATTTATGATACTGAGGTTTTGGATTGCTAGATTTTATTGTTATACTCAATGCGGAGGTTATATTGGATTAATTGAAAATATGCCGTGCATTTTAGACGCGGATGAAATCATTGATGAAATTTGGAAAATCAGATTGGTGAATAGTGATGAATTGATGATTCTTGGTGCAACAGGAGAAGTTATTGGACACGGCTTTGATAATATTCGTGACAATAACCACACTCAAGAACCATCAAGAATCGGATGGTCAACTTTAAAAAATTGGATCGCAGCAGAATTACATTACGGTGAAGTTAAAGAGCAATTAAGAGTAGATTGGGCAACTTATATTTGCTCGAAATCTCAGTTTATACCGGATAAAAATAAAGAATATATTTTACCGTCAACAATCGATAATTCACCAGTCCTTTTAATTAACAAAGTTATCACTGAAAATGAAAACTATCCAAATTCAATTCATAAATCCATAACTTTTGAAAGTAATCCTTTGGAATATATCTATTCAGCAAGGTACGTTCTTTCGTCTGTTGAACCTTTTACGATCTCGGGAACTTTGCAACCCAAGCCGCACTTGAAAGTTGCACGTATATTGGCATTTAAACATTCGTTGCTAGAATGCGTTGAGTCAATAAAACTGCCAGGAGAAAAGGTTTTTGAAAAGACGTTGAACGAAAATGTATGCTTTGTTCAAACACCCTCTAGAGGAGTGTTCGTGTTGAGAATGACTGGACAGATCATAGGAAATGAGGTGATTATATTAATATAGGCATTTTGGACTCTAATTAACTCTAACAATATATGTGAAACTTTAATTAGGATGATGGAATTAATTTTATGTGGCAGATGATATTAGGTTGCGGGTATTATGGTGAGATTATAACTGATGTAGAAGATAATATGAAAGCTTTTCAAAATACAAGGTTAGAATACTTTAAAGATAAGCAATAGGGTTGGGTCGGTTCCTGTAAAAATCAGACCGGACCGATTTTTGAAAATCTGTTCAATCGGTTCATACCGGTTCAAATAATAATCTCTGATCAAAATTCCCTGCATGTTTCAATAAGTTATTTACTTGCTTTGATAAATAATAAAAGTGCCAGTTTAATGTTTTGCTATCTAATAAAACTTAAAGTATTGCACTAAATAAATGAATTTTATAAACATCACCATGACGATACAGCGCTAGTCCTCAAAGTCAAGTGACTAAGAAATTCATACTTGGGTCTGTCTATACACAATACATAATCTTATTCATTTTTATTTATCATATCCAGGATCATTTATATAAATTTCCAATAATAAACAATAGTTTAAAGATAAAATACTGTATATACATACGGTTCATCCTGTCAAGACCGATCCTGTCAAGACCGATCCTGTCAAAACCGATTACTTCCCATAACTGATAAAATCTGATAATCTGTCATTTCTGATAACTGATATTCAAAAAAAATATACGATCTATTCGTTGTTATATAATCCGGTAAATGAATCAGATTTTAGATAGTCACCGCATGATTTAGTTTCACCAGCAACTCAAGCCACAATAGAGGTGATGTAACTTCAAAATTATGAATTATTTTGAGCCAATTTAGAAGAATCCTGTACATTTCTGAATCATAAACACTCCCCGGGAATAGTAATCCGAATCGTTTAGTTGAAAATCAACTAGTTGACAACTTTCCAACTAATCGATTTAGAAAATTTTAAAACAACTAATCGATTTAATTATCAACTCGTTCAATTCCGAGATATTCCGTCTAGTTGGGTGGGTAGAGATCGTACCCGTATAAAAGTCACTTGGATATTAGTAAACCTATCGATAGCGATAGTGTAATTTTTTTTTATCCCATTTGTAACATTTTTGTGAAATAAAAATACTAGATAGATTCATTTTTATTAATTATTTACTCAAATTACAAATATTAACTAATAACTCTTTAAACATTATTAGTAATAGTTTATACATTTTTTAAAGAAATCGATGTCTAGGTCACACCATGAGGTTTGCATCATGTGACCCAAAGGAGTCTAAAATCAGGGATTTGAAAGAAAAAACTAAATCTTCAGAGAAAGGGATAAAGGAAACGTTGATCTTAATAGTGTATTCGATTATTTTTTAAAAAAAAAGATCTCGAAATGATAAAATACGATGATGTACCAAGTCGTCGATAAAGTTGCGAGTCATCTCGCTAAAATAAATGACCTTCAGGATATACAAGACAACCTAGCTACTATTGCCCATCCCTCCCATACGCGGTAGGTGCTATATCAATTACTGGAATTGCGCTACGGGTTTTTCGAGGATCGTTGATCTTGATCAAGACCATCAAGAAAAATAATCACATACACGATACTGTAGCAAAAAAAATGAGATAAAGTAGTAAATATTTAAACATGAAATAAATCAAATACCAATGCAAACAGAAATAGCGAGATAAATACATCATTCGATATCGTCGTATTACTGCAGGGATTACTTGTTTGACCAACTTCACGAACGAGAAGTTGAAAGTACGGCCACATAGGACGACTGATCAGTAATCCACCCGGTCCGATTGGAATCACCGAAACAGCCTAGCTTATAGAAGTGGATGGTACGATGAATAAAGCAACGGGCGGAAAAGAAGAAAAAAATAGGTAGGTAAAGAATCTAGACTTTTGAAGTTGGTTATTTGCCTTTTCTTTAGGGATCTTAGTTTCTGTAAGAGTGTGAGAAAAAAATTGGATGATGTCGCACATACTTACCATTATCATTAAATTATCTAATCTAAAAATAGCGATAGGTACACACACTGGTCTATGACTCTACCATTAAATCCTCCACTACGCTTTGGACAATTATTAGAAAGACTAGGCTTGTGACCCACGGCTTGAATTTTATGCCGGGTTCAATCTCTACCCGGGATTAGTATGCCAAAAGTTAAAAACAGTTTCATAGACGAAATTTTTAGTTAAAAAATCGTGATTTTCACGTTACTTATTGCTAGAGTCCATAATTATGCGAATTATGCAAATTTTTAAATTCAAATTATGCTTATAATTATTATGCCATTATATTACAAATTATGTACGTAAAATATGCGCCCTTTCTAATTTATTTTTGATTAAAATATATATAGCATGTTTAACATTTCAATTATTTCAGATTCCTCCCCCTCTTTTTTTTTTTTTTAATAAAAACTTTATTTTCAAAATAAACCGTGAAAGGATTAAATTCACAAGAATTTACACTATTAAAAAAAATTAATATTCACCAAGTTCTTATATATACGTACGTACGTACGTACATACATATATATGAGTGTCGCTAAAAGAAAACCCGAAAATTTAAACATGACTTATATTTAAATTTTCGGGTTTTCTTTTAGCGACCCTCATATGGGTGACGCCAAGAGAAAACCAGGAATTCTAAAAATAGACTTCCATCCACAGCGAAGTTGCGGGGTTTTTTAATCGGTCAATGTAATAACACGATGTTATTACATTGACCGATTAAAAAACCCCGCAACTTCGCTGTGGATGGAAGTCTATTTTTAGAATTCCTGGTTTTCTCTTGGCGGCACCCATATGTAGAACGATCATGATATCACCGTAATTAATTTTGATTGGCCAAATCACGACGATCATCACATGGTTCAAGTATAATCTAAATGGTTCGACACTTTTTTTTTGCTATGGCTAGTACGCAAATTAGTAAACGCACTACCCATATCATACTGCTATTCTTTAATCCCAAATATTGTATGTGGAAAATATTTAATATATTACGAAATCAGTTATGGGTTGAATGCCTAGAATTTGTCTAACATAAGGATATCCATAAAAAAAATAACTGTCGATTAAAAAGCACTGAACATTAATTTCTAGCTGATAGCAATTCCCATTTGAACCAATTATAAAAATTATTACTGAACATACACTTAACAAACATGTAATAAAGAACCAATTACTGATAATAAAATAAAATTTTGCATTGGAATTTCAGTCTAAATATATTAGTTAAGCATGAAATAATTATTTCTTGAATATGTGTGAATTTTTTAAATTGAGAAAGGCATCAAATCTTATAGTTATAGTACACATGATAACTATCTAAATTTTTATTATTTAAATGTTTTACCATCCGCGCATTTCTTGCCGTCAAGATGACCATCCCAGGCCTAATATATAAATATGTTTCGAAGGTGTTAGTTGGCATAACTACATATTATATAAATGTAAAAAGTAACTTAAACAATAAACGCTTACCAAATAATCTTCAAAGCTAGAACGAATTTGAGGATCTGTATGGTCTACCTTTTTGAATTCATAGCTTTCGAAATCTGCAGCGTCTGTTACTGTTATTCAGTAATACAATGAAATATTTTAGAATTCAGTGAGGTTATCAACATTATTAACTTCCTCATTTTAAAAAAAAGCACGATAACATACCTTCTTCAGGTATTTCTTGTCCACGGATGACAAAATATCCGGCAATTTCGTTTTTATTATCTGAATAGTAAATTATCGTTAGTCATTTAGCCTCTAAAATATTATAAAACTGAAGAACCTCACCTTCACCCAACACCAGCAAATTTCCAAATGCATATTTGCGTGCTCGATCTAAACGATTGAAAAAGCCACCAATAAGGTTACTGCTCATGTAGACTTTTGTCAATTCGTCATTATATTTATAGTCCACACGCCAAATGGAATATCCTTCCGGGTCATAATGTTCCCAGAACCAATTAATAGCATCTGGACGAGTATCATTGTTAGAATAGAAACGTTTCCATTCCTCCAGATTTAGTTTGCTGGGAGGCAATAGATCCAGCTTGCTTTTAGGTTTAGGCGCGGGTTTTTCTTCCTCTTCTAGATCATCATCAGGAGCTTCTGTTTTTTTATTACTTTTTTCTTTTTCTTCTTCCTTAGGTTTGGTTTCCTTTTTACTTTTTTCCTTCTTGGGAGCTGTTCCCATTATTAAACAAGGTTGCTCAATATAATATAAAATTAAGAAACAATTTAAATATAAAAAATTAAATATACGTACGTGTATATACTTGTGCAACATCCACAAGAGCGACTTCACCTAAAATTTTCTTAAAAGCTGGTTGATTGACGAGTGTCACATACCATCGAGTAAGATTCTTGAAACCTTTACGGAACTCAGCGTCCAATACCAATTTGAAAGGAAAATAAAGAGCTGTGGCAACAGAGATATCGGCCAATGTAATGCGTTCACCAACCAAGTAGGTCTTTTTTAACAAGATCTTTTCTAGCACACTCAAAGACTTTTTTAGACCTTCCGTTGCCTGGCTATGAGCCTTATTTGAAATTTAGAGTTAGCACTGCAACCTATTATTAATTCAGACATAAAAAATTCACCAACATATACTATCATAAATAAAAAATTACCGCTTTATTAAATTGTGTTATGCCCAAAATTGGGTTGATCCAAGTATTAGCGTGTGGAATAATCTCGTTTTCGGCAAATAGAATGTAATTAAGAACTTTAGCAGTTTCTTTTTTATCTTTGCCTAAAAGCTGGGTTTTTTCAGAACAACTAGACACTAAGTGTCATATAGTACGTTTGATTGGAGATTAGTTTCTATGCAAATACATTATCAATGCTACTATCACATAATATTTCAGAAAAATGATTTTCTTTCATAATAAAGTTATCAGTCAGGGATAACTGTTTTTATTTCTCATCATTAAAAAAAAAAAAAAAAAACTATTTTTTTACACACGATCCGACCCAAATCCATAGATGGAATATGTAATAACTAAACTGAAATATTGTACTCACCATAATATGCAATAGCTCCGCATTCATTAAGATGGAGTTCACCGTCAGCACTTTCAAATGCAGGAACCTACAAAAGAAAAATAATGCATTTCATAAATTTAATCAGTTAATAATCTTAGTTACTATATATAAACGGTTTTCTACCATTCAGATTACATTTTACTTCGTAACACGAAAATCAATGTTTCAAAGTGTATTTTCAACTTACTTTTTCATGACAGAATTTTTCAAGAAATTCGGGTTCTTTGTTATCCTTACCGAACTCAAATTCGGCAACCTCCACTTCAAGATGATTATACTCAGCAGCAATTAAAATCTTGAAAGTACGTGGATTGTTGGGATAGGAGTAGATTTTCTAAACGGAGATCGGTGGATTAATAAATAAAAAAATTATGAATGCTCAGTTATTGAAGTAAAAAAGATCTAGTTAAGAGAATTATAAGCTTGTAATATAGCCTTTTCATATATAAACGTTTGTCTGAAGTAATTATTAAAGCAGTAAATTATTAATTTTCTTTAACCTTCGATAAAAACAATACGAGTATGACTGCGCCAAGATTCTTGCTCGTGCATTTCTGTGCTGAAGCTTATTCCGCCACGTCAATGATTTAAACCAACTCTTATTCCTAAGCCTTGTGATCTACTTGAAAAGCTCTTTATATAAATCAAAATGAATACATACGCCGATAGGAGCCATTTTTATTGCCTGGAATCAAGTAAAGAGATGGGCAAATTGGACAAATCCGAAAAAAAAATTTTAGATCAGAAAAGGCTTATAACTGAATCATCAAAGCCACCGCCGTGTGATGCGAAAAATCAAATCACGTGCCACTCACATCGAAATTACTATGCAAGAAGGCAACACTGAACTTTATTATATAATGTACGGAATCGAATGGCTGAGCTAGGCCCGTAAATTTATGGGCCGAGCTCACATTTATTATGAGCTTTGCCTGGGCTTTGTAAATATGCCCTGGTGTGAAAGCAAAAATTTACTCAAACCTAACGTTAACGCTAGCTAACGTTAACTAGTAGTTCAAAAAATTTTACCATTTCGTGTAACCCGAGCTTTCGGAATTCAATAAAAGAAATTTTATGTTATTCAGATCCTAACCTTACAGCAAAAGACACTCGGGTCCTGATCCGACGATTCTGCGAGCACTAATACAAGTATAACAGAGTATAACTACTGTATATAGCAAAATTACGATCTGAGCAACTTTACTTAGTACATCAGTTAGCGGGTTTATTAGTAACATTTGCTAGGTTTTCTGGCGGAAGCTCGGGTTACACAAAATGGTGGGCATCACTAACCTATTAAACGTTAACACTATGTGTAATACAAATTACGCATTTAGAAATAATTCACTTACAACTAATAAGAGCTGCAGGAAATTAAGAGTAAAGCGTAAGTGTGACACCTCTAAGGCTTTAAACTAAAAGGCATGTAGTTATACGATACAATCATTGGACATTAGGTATGACACGAAATATTACAGTAGAAGGAAGTCAAGCCACGAAGTTAGGAATACTAGATATTTATAAACCAAATTTTGAGCTGAGAACCTAGAGACCCTAATTAATTTGGAAAACCCCTATTTGAAAGCAAGTGCAACGGTGGTTTTCCGTCCATTTCCCCATTTGAACTAATCTAAGCCATTGCTCGATGTGATTTTTTAAAATTTAACCGTATCTGATATGATATGTTAGCCAAGATCGGAACCTACTATTGGCTAATGGTCATGTGACAAAATTTTAATTTCTGACCAGTGATTGATAACTTATTATTTTTAATTTAAAATGGATACGTACAGGGACCGGAAAAAAATTTGGATAATATTTATACAAATTTGGAAATCACGTATCCCAATTTTTCCGGTCCCTTGATACGTGAGTAGATTAGAGGGTCCACTAAAATTCAGCAAATCGGCCCGAATTTTGGGTCAGGGATGAGCCGGAGCAAAGTGGCATAACAGCATATAGGATAACTTTCTCGTGATTGGTCGTCACATGAAATTGAATAACACGTTATTATTGGCCAATTGTGAAACA